CCTTCCCCCTGCACCAAGGCTGTGCAAGGTGTCACACCCTAGGCACTGGTCTCTAAAAAGCCTGCCCATGCACCAGGGACAGATCCCAATCCCCCTGCCTGTCTCCCCCCCCCCCAAACAGTTCAAGCTAAACTACCTACATGATTTTGTTTTTAAAAGAAATGAACATTTTCTAGTTCCATCCATTTGCCTGCAAATTTCATGATGTCATTGTTTTTTACAGCTGAGTAATACTCCCTTATGTGTATTTTTTCATTTGTTTTTAGTTTTTTTCAAGACAAGGTTTCTCTGTGTAGTTTTGGTGCCTGTCCTGGATCTCACACTGTAGACCAGGCTGGCCTCGAGCTCACAGAGATCTGCCTGGCTCTGCCTCCCGAGTGCTGGGATTAAAGGCGTGCACCATGGCCACCCGACCCATTGTGTATATGTACCACATTTTCTTAATCTATTCTTATGTTGAGGAGCATGTAGGTTGTTTCCAGGTTCTGGCTATTATGAGTAATGCTACTATGAACATAGCTGAGCAAGTGCTCTTGTGGTATGATTGAACATCCTTTGGGTATATGCCCAAGAGTGGTATCATTGGGTCTTGAGGTAGATCAATTCCCAATTATCTGAGAAGTCACCATATTGATTTCCAAAGTGGTTGTACAAGTTTGCACTCCCACCAACAGTGGAGGAGTGTTCTCCTTGTTCCACATACTCTCCAACATAAGCTGTCATCAGTGTTTTTTATCTTAGCCATTCTGACAGGTGTAAGATGGTATCTCAGAGTCGTTTTGATTTGCATTTCCCTGACTAAGGGATGTTGAACAATTCCTTAAATGTCTTTTGGCCATTTGGGATTTTTCTGTTGAGAATTCTCTGTTTAGATCTGTAGCCCATTTTTTAATTGGATTGTTTGGTATATTGATGTCTAGTTTCTTGGGTTCTTTATATATTTTGGAGATCAGCCCTCTGTCAGATGTGGGGTTCTACAAAGACAACTGAGTCAAGCTCATAGGAACTCATGAACTTTAGACCAACAGCTATGGATCCTGCATGGGACCGGACTAGACCCTCTGAATACGGGAGACAGTTGTGTAGCTGGGTCTGTTTGAGGGGCCCCTAGTAGTGTGACCAAGATCTATCCCTGGTGCATGAGCTGGCTTTCTGGATCCTATTACCTATGGTTGGACACCTTGCTCACCGTTGAGGCAGGGGGTAGGGGCTGGGTCCTGCCTCAACTGTATGTACCAGGCTTTGCAGTCCCTTCCATGGGAGAACTTACCCATTTGGAGGAAGGGGTGGGGGGGGGTTGGGGGACGGGGGTTAGGCTGCAGTGGAGGGGGCTGGAGGAGGGATGAAAGGGGGAATCTGGGGTTAGTATGTAAAATTAATTTTAAAAAATTTTTAAGGAAAAAAAAGAAATGAACATATACTTTAGAAATATCTCAGATTGACCAATGAGAACTGATAGCATTTTACAAACACATCCACCCTACCCCATAAAATGTCTTTTTTTACTTTTCATCATCGACCAGAAATTATTGTGATGGGCTCACTGGGCTTCCTAAAAATATAAATACCAACTGTGTACATCTTTTGTAAAGTTAAAAATTAAGACATGTGAATAGGTGCCTGTTAAAAATTAGTTAAAAATTGCCGGGCGGTGGTGGCGCACGCCTTTAATCCCAGCACTCGGGAGGCAGAGCCAGGCGGATCTCTGTGAGTTCGAGGCCAGCCTGGGCTACCAAGTGAGTCCCAGGAAAGGCGCAAAGCTACACAGAGAAACCCTGTCTCGAAAAACCAAAAAAAAAAAAAAAAAAAAAAAAAAATTAGTTAAAAATTAAGACATGTGAATAGTGCCTGTATAGGTAGCAGAACAGCACAAATGACAGCAAGTCTTTGATTTATTCTGGTATCACTGAGAGTGAGTGGTTTGGATTAATTCCAGTATAGGTCAAGGAAACCAGTAGGGACTGTCTTGTCATAGTCCAGGCCACTGATACAAGTGGATTAAGTAGGTTCATGGGATGAGAAGAAAGAAGAGTAAAGCCTTTAGAATGAAACTATTAAGCTTGGTGTCTTGGGTAACAGCTGAAATGTTAATGGTAATAAGGACCTACGGCCTGGAAGTCCAAGTGTCTGAGACTCAACATGACAAAATCTTGTGCTTATGTTCCAGAGTTAGAAAATACCGAAACACCACCATCCAGTTGTAATTAGCCAGATTTTTATTTAAGCTGCAGCTGTTCTCAGTTCCCTGGTTGGATTTGGGTCTGAGGCCCAGCTAAAAGGGGAGAGTCACTTTTAAAGGCAAAGGCCACACTTTGCTGTGGTGGAAGTGCACTCTCACAGGTGTGAGGGAACAGCTTAGGTCCTTGCATTGCCGGGATTCCTGGTGTTGTCTTAACAGCCTCAGGTTGCTCACAGGGCTGGCTTCAGACCTAAGATGAGTCCCGAGCTGCTCTCCTCCTCACTGGTTCTGGCTCCTGTGAATCAAATCATGGATTCACATTTATGTTTATATATTCACATTTATCTATAGTTAATATTATAACTGTGTTGACTCTCCTTTTTATATATTTAAATACACAGTTTATGACACAAGAGCCTATGGCAACATCCTGAAAACAACAGGAGAGGACTTTAGTTGGAAGATGCGTTTGGGGAAGGATGTGTACCTAGATCAAAGGACTTCTCCCACAGGATTCAATTTCTGGATGATCCGCAAACAGTTTTCATAACCTTTAGGTCAGGGACACATGCTATAGGGATTTATGGCTGGTCTAAGTGACCAGAGACTGGTTTTCCCAAGATAGTTTAGATGGCATGACTATAATTTAGTAGCCCACGACCTTCCCCACTGGTTCTAGGAGAATGAGTCAATGTGGGGGATTTAGTTTTAGGGCCTCTGGTGTCTCTAGTGTTGTGTTGTGTTGTGTTGTGTTGTGTTGTTTTGTTTTGTTTTTGATCTGCTGGGGGAATACGAGGAGGAAGACGTTGACAACAAGTAAGCATCAGGGTGCTGAAGCAGTGAAACAGAAAAAACAAACCTGCTTCACCCAGGTCAGATTCTGTAACCATTAAGTCAGCCCTTCAGTCAGATCACAGCACCCGTCTTGAGAAACCCTTTCTACAAGGTTTGTAACCCTCTGATTTTTTTTTTTTTATTGATTACTTGGGAATCTCACATCATGCACCTCCTAATCCTCCCATGTTCACCTCCCCTCCCCCATGACCTCCCTCCTCACCCCTTCCCCAAAAGGTTCATTTCGTATTGTCCATAGGTTCACTGAAGCATGGTCAAATTCCTAGGGGTCAGCCCCCTTAGGAAGGATGTGTCTTTCTCCACCTGCATCCTCACCAGAAGCCGTTAGCGGAGGAGAGTCGTACTGTGGCCTGAGCCAGCTCTCCCGCCCCCAAGCCACCACCTGTGTCACTGGTGCAGTGTTGTGGGCCAGCAAGGGGCAGGGCCAGTTCTCCTTCCGCACAGGGACATTAGCATGGGTTCAGGAGGCAGCCCTGACCTCAGGCATGTGCATGAGCTTTGGTGGTAACACAGGCCGTGGACATCAACACAGCCTTTGGCTGTATCAGGACTCCTGGCTCACTCATGGCCCTCAGTGGCTGCATGGGCCCCAAGCCTCAACGTGGCCTCAGTGGTCACACATGTCGCTCACATCATCTTAAGGCATCAAAGCCTGAGGACATCACCAGGGCATCAGACAGCAGCTTAAACTGTATTCATCCACATGGATCTCAGGTCTCATCATGGCCCGGGGCAGCAGCATGGACCACCAACACTAACATGGCCTCTGGTGGCATCACCGGCCATGGTGGTTCTTCAAGGAGGTCCAATCCAGAAAGTGAACCTTTGTTGCTCGAGTTTTCCTGCCTTGCCCACAGTCAGGACAAATCTCTGTC